CTGACTCTACCTTGTGCTTTTTTACTTTGGCTTTATTATGTACTTGTGCAGAGCATTTCAGTTGGTTACAATGTTTAATGCACAAGGTTTTCTAAGGCAGATTTGAACATGATGTCATCGTTTTCTTTTATTAGTATCAACGTTCTGTCTGCATTTACTGAACTATTAGACTTAGGAAGGGAGATGTAACGAGTATGCGTACACGAAGTACAAGTCCAGTTCCCGCCTCGCGGATCACGTGACACGGGGTTCATGTGGTCAGCCATGTTGTAGTTTTCGTCGTTGCTGCTTAGTGCATTAAATAAGTTGTTTTGCGGACACCGTTGACTATCCACTTGTCGTTACAATAATATGAAGTCCTTTGAATGTAAACAATGCAACAAGGGATTTACCACAACATGGGGTCTTAAGCTGCATGTAAGAATCCATGCAGAGTTGAAGCCCTCTAAGTGCTCAAAGTGCGAAAAAAGTTTCAGGCAGTCCTCACATCTCCAGCAGCACAAAAGGACACACTCTGAGCTAAAGCCTTTCAAGTGTAACAAATGTGACATGTCATTTAGCCAGTCGTCAAATCTTCAACAGCGTATTAAAGAACTACATGATCTCAAAGAGAGCACACATAAATGTAGTCACTGTCAAAAGAAATTTTCAAGAACTTCTTATTTACAAATTCATCAAAGAATACACTCTGGGACAAAGCCTCTTCAATGTGAACACTGTAGCAACTCATTCAGGTTTTTGTCATCCCTATATCGGCATTGCAGAAGTCACTTGTGTGATGAGGAGAGTGGAGATGTAGTTTGTTGTAAACGGATAATAATTATCGAGGACACAAGGAAACGCAACTCAACTCTCTTTAATCTGAACATTCTGGACATCCGAATCACACGTGTCACTGCACATGCGCAGTCCGAACAATACCTATTATATAACATAGTTGAAGGCTTCATCCTCAAGGAGCAATTGAAATATGACTTGAAAGCAACTGCAAAGGAATGCACTTGTTTTGAAGAGAATTCCAGTGAAGAATGTTGTTTAATCCTTCTGAAACAAGAAGAAACAGAAGGAAGCCAGGAAAGTGAATGCTGGATTTGCCTTAAGAGATTGAGAGATCCAGCAGATATGATAAATCATGTTAATGAGCACTGTCAACTTTGAGCTGGAACAGGTCAGCCATAATCTTATTATTATTCCAGTTACACAAATAGAAAAACATCCGAAATGTATCGTTACCTTGTTTACCCTGAATGCCACAATCAAGTTCCAGTTAGCCAGTAATGCAGGTGTATTTGGAGTGCATGGGCAAATGTTTTGAGTAAGTGTGCCATTTTAGATTCAGACAGCATTGGAAGTATGGGTCAGTCTCCAAGAATGACAACATGTACATGTGTACAAAATTCTTCTGAGCATTCGAAAGGTGGATTTCGAACAGCTTGCCAAACAAAATGCCTGAATTGCAGGCCATACGTTTCATTTATCAATAGTTTTTAAACTTTTAAGCATGCATACATTGATTCAAATGATGTAATGTTACCTTCTTTTCAGTAGGTTACAAAATTATATATTAATTGATCATATCAAGGGTTAGACCATTTGGGTTTTGGGGAGGGGTGTGGGTTATTTGGTACAAGCAAGAATGTTTTTTAAACCTTTCATGCATTAGGAAATTTTTCTCGGGATCATGTGTATGCATGGCATTTTTTTCCCTGTTTTGACATACTTTTTTCAGCTCATTGAATGTGTATTAATTTTTTATGGCAGTAGTCATGTACATTAACTTTTTTTCTCCACTACAAGTAAGCTTGTAGGATATGTTTTTTTTTGAAAATCACCCACCTAACCTTCCCTCAAAATCCCTCAAAAGTCGAATGCTTCACCCCTAACCTTATATGGCAGTACATGGAATAAGATGTAACTGCATTCCAAGGCAGACAACATAGACCTACAAATAATTTTGTGATTATATATGTAGTTTACTCATTCCTAAATTAGATTTATCTATCTATCTATCTATCTATCTATCTATCTATCTATCTATCTATCTATCTATCTNATTCCTAAATTAGATTTATCTATCTATCTATCTATCTATCTATCTATCTATCTATCTATCTATCTATCTATCTATCTATCTGTCTCCAGTTTCAGTTCTAGGTGTATGCACTTAATTGTTCCAAATAAGCAATAAGAATAACTCATTAGCTACATAAGACGAAAAAATTAAGACAAAAAACGAACAATAAGTGAACATCATGACAAAGCAGAGTCTGGGACAAACTCTAACTGGAACCAGTCGTCGTCAAGCGGTAGGAATAATGTTATCATTTCTTTGGATCGATTACCTTTATGTAAAGAATAATTCGATTGTTGCCGAATTGTAGTTTTGTTGGAATCTGTAGAATAAACAGATTTCGACAGATTGTTTTAAGTTAGTTTTTGCAATAACTTTCAGTGGATATCAAGTGTCACTGAGAGATATCTG